GTCTGTTGACTGACCGTTTGTTAAAATAATTGTTATGGGCAGGTTACATTATAAAAAATTGTTTGTCATAATCATGTCTTGTAATTATTTAACAGGGGTTTTACTTTTAAGTGTACTTAAAATACACTTAATTGTAAGTGTATTTAATTTAGTTATGATGTAAATACAATAAAAATTAAACCAAGATTTAGAATAATTATCATTTTGATCCATATATTGGTAATGTCTGACTGGGCCTCGTGCCACTTTATGTTCAACAAATTGGGCCCCGAGGTCAAAAAGGTTAAGAACCCTGCTCTAAACTACCACAACAAATTTTAGCCCAGAATCGGTGTGGTAACTGTCAGTTTTAGTGTTTTATTATCACTTGACTGTGGCACAGAATTCCTCGGTGCAGCCAGGGGGGCGGAGGGAGTCCGGTCCGGTGGCCTCAGGATTTAATCTCTGCTGTTTGCAGATGATGTGGTTCTGTTGGCGTCATCGCGCCGTGATCTTCAGCTCTCTGGTTCACAGCCGAGTGTGAAGCAGCTGACATGAGGATCAGCACCTCCAAATCTGAGTCCATGGTCCTCAGTCAGAAAAGGGTGGACTGCTCTCTCCAGGTTGGGGGTGAAGTTCTGCCTCATGTGGAGCAGTTCAAGTATGTTGGGGTTTTGTTCAGGAGTGAGGGAAGAATAGAGCGTGAGACTGATGGACGGATCAGTCCAGCTCCTGCAGTATTGTGGACTCTGTACTGGTCTGTTGTGGTGATGAGAAGCTGAGCTGTTGTAGTGTCCAAGAGTGGGGGGCCTCTTCTCAGGAATGCAGAGATGTGAGGTCTCTTGGTTTTCCAGCTTCAGAGCTCGGCACATATTACCATATTAGGAAGAAGGTATACCGTGACAAAATTTATGGTACATCTGTGAAGCCTATAAAGAGCCTTGTACGCCCCCACCCTTGGCCTTCGTATTTCATCTTTCTTACTTGGTGAATCATTTGGCTTGGAGGCCACAATTTGGTTTTTGGCTGTAATCTCCTGGACTGCAAAACAAATATTCTTGCTGTTCAACCAGCCTGTTTCAGAGTTCTCTCTTCATTGAGCAACAGCAGTTCCACTTGAACCAGAAGACGTGGTTATTTCACCTCACTGTAAATTGATTTAAACTAATTCGAATTCGCCATTTATAAAGATTTAATTTAGGGAAAATCGAGATTTTTTCCCCACCAGTGCACTCTTTGGGGCTTCTGTAGTTCAGAGGTCACCCCACCTGTCTCTCAAGACGTTTGGTACATGACATGACAATATGGCAGCTAGCAAAGAGGATCTATTTCTCAAAAAAGGCACAGTTTCCTCAGTTATCTGGAACTGGTTAGGTTTTACAGTCTCGGACTTGGAGCAACAAACACCTCACTGCTAAACACGGGGTTCCTACAGTTTAAGGCAAGTTAAATTTAAGACTTTTTAAGACTTTTTAATGCCAAGTGAAATCATATTTAAGACCAATACATTAAACACAGATGACAAAAAAATTAATAAAACTATAGCAAAAACTCACAAATCAAAGTATTTTTGGTTGAATTATTCAAACATTGCTAATATACCAACTGTTTTTATCCATATCTAACTGCTATTTTGTCAAATATAGCCAAAAGAAATACATTCTTAGCAAGCAGTCAGTTTTAAACTTAATTTAATTTCTGAAAATCCTCTAATGACCCAAAATTTGCAGTTTTATGGCCCACAGTGGGATCTCAACCCCAGCTTTCTGTAGAAGAAACCTTGAAGTGTATATGACATCAAATGTTTGTAAGAAATATGAATGTATTTTTGGAAAAACAACATTATTAACATTAGAAAACAAATTTCACATTGCTCAGATGAACAGTTGAGATATTTGTATGTGGTGTCAAAAGGGAACATCTCAAAATAAATTAATGTTACCAATTATTTTAATATTTGATACGAATTACAGTCATCCTACTTACGTTTTTACATTTTTAAAGACTTCTGAAAATTGAGTTACTGTAAAACCTTTTAAGGCTAATTAAGGCCTTCATTTTAGATTGGTGAATTCAAGGCCTTTTAAATCTTTTTAGGGATCTGCAGGAACCCTGTAAATCTGTTTGGAGGCTCTTGCTACCAAAAGCAGGAGTACAAAAAATTGTTTCAACACCTGAAACAGAGTCACTCTATTAAGTGAGAAACAAATTGTTTAAAACGAAAATGGAATTTGGGATGAAAAAAAAGAAAGATTTTATTTTTGGGCCATATCGCCCACCCCATCAGTCTACATTTCTACCCTTATGTCCCAAACTGTGGGTAGTGACCAAAAGAACAGGATCACAGATACAAGAAGTCAAAATGAGTTTTCTCTGCAGGGTAGCTGGACTCTCCCTTACAGACGGGTAAGAAGTTCAGTTATCCTGGAGAGACTCAGAGCAGAGCCACTGCTCCTCCACGTCGAGAGGAACCAGTTGAGGTGGTTCATCTGATAAGGATGCCTCCTGGATGCCTCCCTAGGGAAGTGCTTCAAACATGTCCAACTAGGAGGAGACTCCGAGAAAGACCAGGACACACTGGAGAGACTATGTCTGGTCTAGGAATGTCTTGGGATCCTCCCAGAAGAGCTGGAAGAGGTGACGTGGGACAGAGAGGTCTGCTCAAGCTGCTGCCCTCATGACCTGTGTTGTATAAAGTACCTCAAAGTGATACTTGAGTAAAAGTACAAGTATCTTATCATAAAAATACTTTGGTAAAAGTTAAAGTCTTCTCTAAAAATATTACTTGAGTAAAAGTCTTAAAGTATCTGATATTTTTTGTACTTAAGTATCAAAAGTAAATTTCTGAGACAAAATCTACTTAAGTATTAAAAGTAAAAGTACTGAGTAAAAGTGAGCAGTTAGATTTTCCAAAATGACATTTATTGGGAGGTGACTTCTCCAAAAAATATTTTTTCTAATGGCGTGCAGCTGTGATGGTTGTGTACAAGCTAATAGTGTGTCAGAATGGTATATATTTATACTTCTCATCCAACCACAATTAAATTCACTCTATCCAGGACACACTATTTATCAGGATAGTATATTTTTAAGTACCCTAATAACAACTCAGAATAAAATAGGAGTAACAACTTTCTACTTCTTACCTTTTTGGAAAATGTAGTGAGTAGAAAGTACAGATTTCTGTAGAAATGTAATGAGTAAAAGTAAAAAGTACGCTGAAAAATAATTACTCAAGTAAAGTACAGATAACCAAAATTTCTACTTAAGTACAGTAACAAAGTATTTGTACTTAGTTACTTTACAATTCTGCTCATGACCCGACTCAGAATAAGCGGAATATGATGGATGGATGGATGGATGGATGAATAGATGGATGGAGGGATGGATGGATGGATGAAGGGATGGATGAATGGATGGATGGATGGAGGGATGGATGAATGGATGGATGGATGAAAGGATGGAGGGATGGATGAATGGATGGATGGATGGATGGATGGATGGAGGGATGGATGAATAGATGGATGGAGGGATGGATGGATGGAAAGATGGAGGGATGGAGGGATGGATGGATGAATAGATGGATGGAGGGATGATGGATGGATGGATGGATGAAGGGATGGATGGATGGAGGGATGGATGGATGGATGGATGGAGGGATGGATGGAGGGATGGATGAATGGATGGAGGGATGATGGATGGAGGGATGGATGGATGGATGGATGGATGAATGGATAGAGGGATGATGAATGGATAGAGGGATGATGAATGGATGGAGGGATGATGGGTGGATGGAGGGATGATGGATGGATGGATGGATAGATGGATGGAAAGATGGAGGGATAGATGGATGGAAAGATGGAGGGATAGATGGATGGAAAGATGGAGGGATGGATGGATGGATGGAAGGATGGAGGGATGGAGGGATGGATGGAGGGGTGGATGAATGGATGGAGGGATGGATGGAGAAATGATGGATGGATGGATGGAAAGATGGATGGATGGATGGAAAGATGGAGGGATAGATGGATGGAAAGAAGGAGGGATGGAGGGATGATGAAAGATGGATGGATGGATGGAAAGATGGATGGATGGATGGAAAGATGGATGATGGATGGATGGATGAATGGATGGAGGGATGGATGGATGGATGGAAAGATGGAGGGATGGATGGATGGATGGATGGATGGATGGAGGGATGGATGGAAAGATGGATGGATGGATGGAAAGATGGAGGGATGGATGGATGGATGGAGGGATGGATGGAAAGATGGAGGGATGGAGGGATGGATGGATGGATAGATGGATGGATGGAGGGATGGATGGAGAAATGATGGATAGATGGATGGAAAGATGGATGATGGATGGATGGAGGGATGGATGGTGAAATGATGGATGGATGGATGGAAAGATGGATGGATGAGTGGATGGAAAGATGGATGGATGGATGGAAAGATGGATGATGGATGGATGGATGAATGGATGGATGGATGGATGGAAAGATGGAGGGATGGATGGATGGATGGATGGAGGGATGGATGGATGGATGGATGGATGGAGGGATGGATGGATGGAAAGATGGAGGGATGGATAGATGGATGGAGGGATGGATGGAAAGATGGAGGGATGGAGGGATGGATGGATAGATGGATGGATGGATGGATGGATGATGGATGGATGGATAGATGGAAGGATGGATGGATGGATGGAGGGATGGATGGATGGATGGACGGAAGTACAGACTGCGGCAGCTGTTTTGAATACAGTTTTAAAAAGTTGATCAGTTGTATTTTCATCCAATTATTTATTTTTTACATGTTTAATTACATCTCTGGTGGATCTTCAAGCAGGGGCGGTTCTAGGGGCGGGGCCACAGGGACATTGGCCCCAGCTGCAATCTGATTGGACCCCTGAAGTGCCCCTGTCCTGTCTCTAGGGTTGGGCAATATTGGCAAAAAAAAAATCACGATTAATTATGGTATTTAGCTGATAACGAGTAATTTGATGATTAATAACCTGGAGTACCTGGACACGACCAACTGAGTGGGAAAGATTTGCTCTTCGTAAAAATCTGTTCAAACTTGTGTCAAAATTACAGACTTCAGGCTACACATCAAATTTTAAATTGTGTTGATAGATAAATAAATTACAGAACTTTTTTATGTTTATATTTGAAGTGGAGAGGAGCAGCGAGCAGACTCTGCCTGGTGGCATTAATCGTATCAATCATCATGTGCCAAAAAATAATGGATTAATGTTTTTCTGATGATTAATTGCACATGATACGATTATGCCCAACCCTACCTGTCACTCATCTGTCGTTTGCCTGAGATTGGTGATGGTGTGTGCAGTTCCTTGTTCAAACACTGACGAGTAAAATAGGAAAGTCCAGCATTAATCAATCTAACAGAATTCTTCTCTTCTTAAGAAAATCTGAACAATCTTTCAGAAAAAGTTATTGAATTGACAAACAATGGCTGAATTTTCTCATAGGCTGTGCGTTTGAGAGTGTTTTATCTATGTACAGCAGGGGTGGGCAATCCTGGTCATTGAGGGCCGCAGCCCTACAGGTTTTATGTTTTTCCCTGGTCCAACACCTGATTCAGACATTAAATTACCTCTTCCAAGTTCTGCAGTACGGACGACCCAAACTGACATAATTAGAAAAAAAGCAGAACTATATAAATGGACCAATAAATTAATTCAATTAAAAATGCGCTAATTATATTAAAAAAGGAGAGCTTTACCTCATGTTTTATTATTTAATTGACCTTCATAATTATTTTCCCAACTTAGTTGAACAAAATATATT